CTACCCAGTCTTCAAATGCTATCGTCTTAGATATCCTCCCCCTTGAACTAACAGTTCTTTACTAAGTAGGTTTTCTCTTGTTGGTTCTTATGGCACTTCAGCGCCCCCTTTTCTCTCACGTCAGCCTTGGTCATTACATTTTTTAAGAAATAAAGGGTTGTTTCTTTTCCAAATCCCAACGTGCTTGTACAAAATTTGGAAATTATCAAGTTTTAAAAAAAAAAAAAATTAAAGAAGGCAGCGTGTTCAGTGGTTAGAGCATCAAATGCACACGGACAGGTCTCCTCCGGTTTGATTCCTGGTCCAGGGTATGTACCTGGGCTGGGGTTGTGGGTTCCCTCCCAGTCCCCTGCCCCCCTTACCCGCCTCCATCAGGGGACATGTGTAAGGCAACCAATCGATGTGTCTTTCTCACCGGATGTTTTTCTCTCTCTGTCTCTCTCCCTCCCTTCCACTCTCTCTAAAAATCAATGGGAAAATATCCTCAGGTGAGGATAAAAAAATAAAAGAATATTCACATTGTTCACAAACATCACCACTATCCATCTCCAGAACTTTCTCACTTTCCCAAACAGAAACTCTGCTTCCATTCAACAGTAACTCTGCTTCCCCCTTCCCCCGTCCCCAGCCCCTGGCAAGCACCATTCTGCTTTTCGTCTTTATGCATTAGACTGCTCCAGGTAACTCATCTAAGAGGGACCATACAATATTTGTCCTTTTGTGTCAGACATTTCACTTAGCATATAATGTCTTCAAGGTTCATCTATACTGTATCACTAGTCCCGATGACTCAGTCTCTGCTGTTTTATACAATCTATGTAACTTGGATCAGTGTCGTAGACTCTAGTTCCTTCCGTGTCAAATGTGCATTTTGCTCCTATGTTGCTAAAACATTTTACTCGATTTATTTCCTTAATTCTGCCAACTCACTGTTCTTCTCCAACTCGGATCACTTCTATCTCTTCTTTTATCAAAGGGGCTGTTTTCTTTATTTCCTTCAACATGTTATATTGAAATTGTACTATTTCTTGGAGCAATTCTTCTCCCAAAGTGTATTCCTCATCTGTCCTTTGCGTGTCATGCTTCCTTCCCCCCCCCCACCCCGTTCTTTTTGTGCTATCTTGGCTTGCATCTCTGTTAGATCCCTTGGGCTTATCACTCCTCTTAAAACAGGGGTGGTTTTATCTGATGCTGAAAGTGAATTCTTTACTTAGCCTCCCATTTGCCTTGGCTTTCTTCCACGTTTCTCTGAACGGTAAACTGGCTGGCAGGGGGTCATCGCTGGGCTGCAGTCTCTGTAGAGTCCTTTGGCTTCTCTGGTGAACAGAGGGGGTATAACCAGGATTAGTAGATAGCAAGAGCCTCAGGGTAGTTATGCTACATCAGATCATTTTCCACACCAAACCTGACGAATTATTCTCCCTGGGGGCATGCATACATCCCTAGGAAGAGGTTGCCCTGAGATTTGAGCTATCGCCTCTCCTTTTCACCGACGAGCAGGTCATTCTGGTTGCAAGCTGGACCCTTACCATGCTCCATAGCGCAGAGGTTTTGATTTGATGGGTCATCGTTTGTTTATCTCCGCTCAGGTAACTTCAAGCTGCAGCTGGATTTTAGGCTGTTGTTTCTGTCATTGGTGAAAGGTTGGTGTTTGGTCTTGCATAGCCTTTACTAAGATCTGTGTTACCTGAAACTCATAGAGACGAATGTTGGAACTGAAAGTGTGGTATGTAGATGACTAGGATGGACTCTGGAGTCAGAATGCCCCGAGTTCAAATATTGGCTCTGCCGCCTGATAGCCGATGGCCATGTGCAATTCATTTAACTTGCCTGGGCTACCATTTCCTCTCTTTGAAATGGGGCTGATTGGAACCTACTTCATAGGGTTGACATGAGGATTAAATGAGTTAATGCAAATAGAAGGACTTAGAGCAAAGCCTGGCATAAAGGAAGTGTTCCATAGATGTTAGCCCTTATCATTATAATTCTTGTAGTCCATCTTAGGGGTACAAGTTCATCTCCACCTTCTGCACAAGGAAGTCTTGAGAATTAAATTCAATAATGTCTGGAAAGCCCACAGCACAGTGCTTGATACCTAATAGACCCTCAAAACATGTGTTGATCATTAAATGATGAGTACAGAGGAAGGTACAGGGAGGAGGGAGGAGGCGGAAAGAGGGTACCTATGAGTTTGCCTTTGTTCTGGGCTAAGGCTTTAGAATATGACTTTTTTTTTTTTTCCATTCATACATTTACTAAACATCTTTATAGGCTCCCCACCAGCTAATCAACGTGTTGACATAAGAAATCTGTAGATATTTTTCATAAGAGTTTACTTGAGCCAAACTGATGACATATGCCAGAGAGCATGATGTCAAATACTCCAGAAAATAACATTTTTTTGCAGCTTCATTTAAAATTAAGGAGGGAGCCCTCGCTGGTTGGGCTCAGTGAATAGAATGTCAGCCTGTGGGCTGGAGGGTCCTGGGTTCAATTCTGATCAAGGGCACATGCCCAGGTTGCGGGCTCGATCCCCAGTAGGGAGCATGCATGACTCTCTCTCATCATTGATGTTTCTGACTCTCTCTTCCTCTCCCTTCCTCTTTGAAATCAATAAAACGTATTTTAAAATAATATTCTCCCTGGGGACATGTGTGAAGTAAGATCCCTACAGGAGCTTACAGATTTAGAGTCATCCTTACTCACTTGGATTCTAAATATTAAAAGCTCAGTAATTTTATACTTTAATCCACAACTAAACTAAATTAAACTGAACAATATTCATATAATCTAGTCACTGAGAAAGACAAACACAGCCTTGCATAATCTCAAACTAATTTGTTCCAACTTTATGATCATTCGCTTCTTAGAATGCTCAAGAAATCCTCCCCCCCCCCCCAAAATGTGATATTTGTAACATGCCAGTCACCCTCACCAAGATAGGCTGCCCACTTGGCCACGTTTCCTACCTAGCCTATCTTTCTTGCTACCAGAGGATCCACTGGGACTCTGGACTTGGGCGCCCCCTAGGTGTCACAGGCTGCTGCTGCACCCACCGAAGGGATCTGAGGACTTGGAGAGTCTGACAGATCCCAACTGCAGGAAATGCACGAAATCACAGGCGACTAGTCTCTCTATTCCTCTCTAGGAATGTGTGGTTTTCTAACCGATTAGGATTAGATTCTGCTGTGACAGAATAACAACAATTTCAAAAGGTAAAGACTTGTTTTTCCTCTCAAGTGAAAGTATGGGCAGGGAATTCTTTACTTAACCTCCCATTTGCCTGGTCCTGGACTGTCTCATCAGAGACACTCTTTTTATCTTGGTGCCATTCTCAACATGTGGCTATCTCGTGGCTTAAGACGCTGCTTCAACATGAGCCATTCTATCTTCATTTCAACCAGCAGGAAGGAGAAAGGAAAAATAGGGCATGCCTCTCCCATCAAAGACACAGTAACTCTTCACTTAACGTTGCAGATAGATTCTGGATCTTTAAATGAAATGGCAGGTACCAAAACCAATTTTATGATAGGCTTATTGACATGGACAAGAGTTAAGGCCCTGGTAGTGGACTGACAATTCTCGAGGAAAAGGGGACAGGGGGGTGTGGGAAGAGACTGAACATAAACTGTGCACCTATGGATGAGGACAATGGGGGGTGGGGAAAGGACAGAGGGTGAGTGGGAATCTGGTGGAGGGGGAAACAATGAGGAACTTTTGTAGATAATAATATAAACAATAAAGATTTATTTAAAAAATTTTAAAAAAAGAGTTAAGGCCCTGTGACATCTCATCAGTGTGCACACTCCCTAGAAATGGCACAAAACATTTCTATCTACACCCCCATTGGCCAGAACACAATCTCTTGGCGACACCCAGCTAGAAGGGAGACTTGGACACATGTTCTTTTTTTAATTGATTTCAGAGAGGAAGGAAGAGGGAAAGATAAAAACATCAATGAAGAGAGAGAATCATTGATTGGCCACCTGCTGCATGTTCCCAGTTGGAGATTGAGCCCACAACCCGGGCATGTGCCCTGATCAGGAATTGAACCGTAACTTCCTGGTTCATAGGTCGAAGCCACACCAGCTGGGCAGACACATGTTCTCTATCCCATGTGTCTTGCCAAAATCTCCGGGGCTCCATTTTTTAAGAAGAGGTGAATCTTGAGGAACAACAAGCAGTCTCTGCCATTGTTCCATCTCTGCGGCTCTCTACAAATGGACTCTGTTCTCTACAGACCAGCCTTCTCTGTTCAGAGTTTCTGAGCCCATGCACTTTCTATTTCTGCTTGCACAAGGTTTTGGGTGCCCACAACGTCAACTCGTAGCCCAACACACAGGTCTTTTCAGTTCCAAGGCCGTACGTGGTCTAGCCACCTCAGGTTCTGGCTCAGTTCCAAGTACCTAGAGAGAAGGTTTATATGTCTAGCTTGGGTCAGGCAATCACCTCCTCAATTCTGAGCCAATTGCCTGTGGCCTGGGGTATACTCGTCCAAATGTACATCGTAGAACAGTGCCAAGGGCAGCAAAAGAACCCAGGACTCCTGGATCCCAGGCCCTGGGGTGATTTCCCAGAATCCCCCAGCACTTGTCTCTGCTTGAGCCCCTGCCCAGAGCTGCAGGGCATCTCCCCCAGGAGTGGCCCAGGAGAGCCCAGGCTGGAGGACACTGACAGCATCATTTCCTGCCTGAGCCTCCCTGCCAAGGTCAATGTCACCTCACGGCTCCAAGCTGGGCCCCTTTGGGGAGATCCCATTCTGACTAGGCCTTGGCCGAAGCGAGGCTCCGGATGCAGGGACACTCACCGAGGTGGGCCGGGTAATAAAATAAATATGGGAAACAAAATCGAAATGGCCACCCACCCTGAGCTGCTCTCAGAGGGGCCCAGCCATAGAAAAGAGCTGATGCCGCCCTCTCCAGCCCCCTCTACCTCCCCGCAGCTTCCCAGTTCCCTCAGGCCTCATGGCGCCTGTTCTCTCCCACTCCCTGCCTCCACAGGCCTCGAACCCTCTGTGGCAATCCCGGGGCTCCACCACCGTGTCTTCCGGAGGCCGTTTCCGCTGCCCATCTTGCAGGCATGAGGTTGTCCTGGACCGGCATGGCGTCTACGGCCTGCAGCGAAACTTGCTGGTGGAGAACATTATCGACATCTACAAGCAGGAGTCTTCGCGGTGAGCTGTGGGGGCCTCTTGTCCCCTCTAGAGGGCAGGGCCTGGGGCGCAGCCTGGGAACCCCTCAGGGTTGAAGGGAGAGGCACCGAACAACCTGCCCCTTCAGGTTAGAGCGGAGAGGGGAGCAGAGGAGGAGAAGGACTTGCCCAGGTCACTCCGCTCGGGGGTCTCCGGTTCCTGGTCACTGCTTCGCCTTCAGTCTCCATCTGGGAAGGGCTGGCAGTCCACTAGCAAAGTCCTTGCCAACCCTCCATTACTTCCTACCCCGTGGGACCTCACTGTCTTCTGGAATGGAGGCTATTCTCGGATCTAAGCCTCCTCTACCCTTTAGCATCTTCTATTCCCCAAATGAAGAGCACTGTGGAAGCCGCAGCACAGAAAGGGTGGTGATGGTTGGTAGAGACGGAAGGAAAGGTGTTCATGGGGCCTCACATTCTCAGTCGTCCTCCCGCCCCGGCCTGGCCCCTGACCCTCCTGCCACCCTGCCCACTCTCCTCAGGCCACTGCACTCCAAGGCTGAGCAGCACCTCATGTGCGAGGAGCACGAAGAGGAGAAGATCAATATCTACTGCCTGAGCTGCGAGGTGCCCACCTGCTCTCTCTGCAAGGTCTTTGGTGCCCACAAGGACTGTGAGGTGGCCCCACTGCCCACCATTTACAAACGCCAGAAGGTATCAAGCAGCAGAGGGAGCAAGCATGCGGGGGTGAGGGCATAATCAGGGGCTCTAACTTCAGCCTCTTACTCTGATTCGTTTTAAGGTCCCAGCTCTGTGGGTGACCGTGGGTGAGTCACTTAACCACTCAGGCACTCACTTTCCTTGCTTGTTCGCTGGGGACGAAATGCCTGCTTCTGAGAGTTATTTCTGGATAAAATAGGATAATAGCTGTAAGCAGATACTTCAGTATGGTGGACTAGATACTCCCAAGGCCCTCTCACCATCACACAACTAGATTCTACATAAAATGTAATTTAAACTTATATTGGTAGGCACATTGGAACTAAAGGAAATCTCCAAGTAAGGGCGGGGGGGTGGGGGGGGGAGGAAGACAGAGTGAACTGAGAACAGAACTCTGACTGGTGAGCACAAAAAAGACAGGATTTCCCAGAGGGCAAATGCTGGCAGTATTGCTGAGCTAGAAAGAGGAGACCATGTCTCCAAACACCTAGAAGATGGGGACCTGCAATGAAGACCCCCAAAGAACCCCGGGTTAAATTGGAATCCTAGGAACTGAAGTAGTCAGTTTCACCACCTGGCTTTGGCAAAAGCAAATTACAAACTCTGTCTGGAGAAAAAAAACAACTCAGTTTAAGCCCTTGGGCTTTTCTTAGATTAAGAACAATGATTAGCTCACAATTGATACACAAAGAAATGTACTCCATTACTGAAACAAACATTAACCAGAAACAAACATTAATAGACTTATACTTCCAAGAAATTCAGATATTGGAATTGTTAAAGAATAGAAAGGCACTGGGTATAAAATGCTCTAAAAAGGATGGGATTAAAAAACAAGCAATGCAAAAAAGAAAAAAGAAAAAAAAGCAAGCAATACTAGACTATCAAAAATGCAGATATCACAAAGATCCAAATAGAGCTTTTAGAAATAAAAATACAATTGTTGAAATAAAACATTCAAAGAACGAATGAAGTGAGAGATTTCTCTGAAGAGAGAATTCGTAAATAGCAAGGATGGGCTGGGGGAGAATGGGGGTGGGTGGAGGGGAGCCTAGAGTGCAACGTTAGGAGATGAGCAGGTTGAGAGTAGGAAGGTCTAACACATATCTAATCAGAGTCACACAGTGAGAAAATAAAGAGAATGGAGGAGAAGCAATGTTATCCTAACAGACAATTGAGAAGAATTTTTCAGAATTGATGGAAGGCACGAATCTACAGATAAAGCATCTAGCCCAGTGCCTGGCACTTGATGGGTATCTGGTGAATGTCTCACTTGGTGGTAGAGGACTTCCTCTCTCAACCTTCCAGAGGCCACAGGATGTGCCTCCACACTTCTTGGATGGTTCCGCGCCCTCTTGGTCTCTGGAATAGCTGCCCCGAAGATGCCCTAAAGGTGGGGTGAGGGGGCAGTTCTCTCAGGCAGCCCTGGCTACGTGGGAGGGGTACAGTGCTAGGCCAGGTCCTCCAGCCCTAAGTGCTGACCTGTGTGTGTGGCAGAGTGAGCTCAGCGATGGCATCGCGATGCTGGTGGCGGGCAATGACCGTGTGCAAGCCGTGATCACGCAGATGGAGGAGGTGTGCCAGACCATTGAGGTAAGCCTGGGATGGGAAGCAGTGAGACTTTCTGGGCTCCCAGAGGGGATCACAGTAACGGGATGAGCTTAGCCGGGCTGCTGGCGTTGAATCTCAGCTCTGCCCCTCACTAGCTCTGTGACTTCGGTCTGGTTACCTAACTTCTCTGTGCTCTGTGCTTTGGTTTAGTTTGGTTTTGCCTCCATAAAATAGCAATAATGAGAATGTTAGGGCGCCTACCTCGTTGGATCTTTATGAGAACTAAATATGATAAGTTCGTTCTAAATAAACAAGTGAAAACCAGAGACATAGACAGCACCCATGAGACTAAAGTATTGCTATTTGCTGAGAGTAGATTTGAAAGTTCTCATCATATCTATATATTAAAAAAAGTGTAACTATGTAGGATGACAGATATTGACTAGACATCTTGCAGTGATCATTTCACCATAGATACAAATATGGAGTCATTGCATTACACACCTGAAACTTTTATGATACTGCATGTCCATTATAGAATCTTTCCAGAAATCGGGACTTTTTTAAAAGGCCGCAGGACGCGGGACAAATTATTAAAAATCGGGACTGCCCCGCCAAAAGCGGGACGTCTGGTCACCTTACCATTATATCTCAGAAAAGTATTGTGCTATTATTTCTGAAAAGATCTGGGCACCAGCAGCCCTTGGCTGGAGTTCCGGCTCTGCCACTAATTTGGGGTGTAACTGACAGGCCACTTTTCTTTTGGGGCCTCCGCGCTTTGCACTGAGTGGGGAGAGGGACGTTGGCCGGGGAGGGGAGTGGGACGGGCGCTCTCCCCGCGTGGAGAAGCCAGCAGACCACCGCCCCCCTCTCTCAGGACAACAGCCGGCGGCAGAAGCAGCTGCTGAACCAGCGGTTTGAGACCCTGTGCGCGGTGCTGGAGGAGCGCAAGGGCGAGCTGCTGCAGGCGCTGGCCCGCGAGCAGGAGCTGAAGCTGCAGCGCGTTCGGGGCCTCATCCGCCAGTACGGGGATCACCTGGAGGCCTCCTCCAAGCTCGTGGAGTCCGCCATCCAGTCCATGGAGGAGCCACAGATGGCGCTCTACCTGCAGGTGGGCCCCGGGTGGCTGGCAGGCTGCGCAGTGGCTAGAGCGCCCCCCCCCACCCACCTCCGAAGACCCGGGTTCAAGGCCGATCTCTGGCACCTACCACCCCCCCCCCCCCGCCTTGGGCCAGTCACCCCCTCTGAGTGCGTCTTGTGCTTCGGAATTGGGATGTGTCTCCCTCCCCCTGCCTACCAGCCCTCCGGGATGCGGTGGGCATCAGAAATGGACTGTGGCCAGCCGTGGCACAGCTGACTCTCGCCCTCGTTTCCTCCTTACAGCAGGCCAAGGAGCTGATCAATAAGTGAGTGGGCGGGGCCGGGAGGGGAGGAGGGGGCTGCCCTGGGAAGTGGGGGGGGGGGGTTGGAGAGGAGGGGTTTGGAGGGGAGGGGGTTTGGGGTGCTGAGCGCGGCGCGCCCCTGCCGCAGGGTCGGGGCGATGTCCAAGGTGGAGCTGGAGGGGCGGCCGGAGCCGGGCTACGAGAGCATGGAGCAGTTCGCCGTGAGCGTGGAGCACGTGGCCGAGATGCTGCGGACCATCGACTTCCAGCCGGGTGAGGGCGGGGGTGAGGGCGGGGGGCCGGGAGGGGCCGGGCCGGGGCGGTGTGTCCGACCCTCCGGAGGGGGCGGGGCGGCGGGCCGGGCCGCAGGGACCCCTCCTCACTGCTCTCCCCGGCCCAGGCGCGGCCTGGGAGGAAGAGGACGAGGAGGCGGCGCTGGATGGAGACGAGGGCGGCGCGGGGCCCGAGGAGGAGCGGCCGGAAGGTGAGCGTGGCCGCGGGGCGCGGAGCCCGGACCTTTCCGTCCGCCCCACCCCCGTAGCGCAGGGCCAAGGGACAGGTTTTTCTTTTCTTTTCAATTACATTTAATTCCCATCACCATTTCCCCCTGTGCCCTCCCCCCGCCCCGCCCCCCGCACTTTCCCTGCGCTCTGGGGGAGCAGCGGGTGGGGAAGCGGAGGGGCACCCACGTGCGGGGGAAGGGGCGAGCCGGGCTCGGCTCACCGCGCTTTCTCTCCGGGGACAGGCCTGCACTGACCCGCCCCGCCCCGTGGGGACCCCGCGCCCTGGGGCCGGCGCCGGGTTCGAGGATCCGCGCGGAGACCACGCGCGCCCGCCGCCGGGGAAGCTCAATAAAGGCTGAGGCGTCCGACCCGCGGCTCCTGGCTCCGCTCACTCAGCCCCGGCCCCCCTCTCCGGACCGGGGACCAGCTGGGGGGGCGGGGAGGAGTGAATGAACCCCAATTGGGCTGCTAGAGGCAAGGATTCCCCAGCCCAGCGCCGCGGGCAAAGCGCAGGGGCGGAGGGGGGTGGTGGTGAAGGGATCGGGACGAGCCCTTGGGTGACTTTTAGGGGCGACGGAGATCCGGACCGTTCCCCCAAGTGCTCCCCTGGCAGCACTGCCCCCTCACCTCACTGCGGCCCCCCGCCCCGCGGAGGAGGGCCCCCGGCGCCCCACGACAGAAGCCAGAGGCTCTTGAGCACTTTTATTAAAAACTCGTAACGCAGAGAGTGTCCGGGCGTCCCCGGCCGCGCCGGCCCCGCGGGACTGGGTCCGTTCCGGCCGAGCAGGTGCCAGCCCGGGGGCGGGGGATGGGGTCGAGGTTTCCGGGGGTGGGGGGCCGGGCCCCGCGGGTCACTTGCCCACCGAGTCGAAGAGGATGCGGTTTTGCTCGGCGCGCTCCCGCTGGCTCTGCGTCCGCGCCAGCTCCAGCAGCGTCCGCAGGAGGTGGAAGGTGAGGTCGATGGACAGCGGAGGGTCCTCCCGCCGCGGCCGCTCGCCGCCGCCCGTGGTCGCAGCTCCCCACCGGCCGGGCCCCGCGCGGTGCGGGAAGCGCTCCGCCAACAGCAGGAGGAGCGCGCGGGCCCCGCCGCCCTGGGTCCGAGCTCCGGGGCTCCAGCGCAGACTGGGGTCCGGGACACTGGCCGCCGCCGCCGCCTCCTCGGGGCTCCACTGGCCGCTCCCCGGGCGCAGCTGTGTCAGAAGCAGCAGCGCCGCCAGCAGCGCCTCTCGCCCGGCCAGCCTCATGGTGCCGCCGCCGGCCCTGGACACACAGGAGCAGCGCGGGGTGAGGCGCGCTCGGGCAGTCGCAGGTGGCACCGCTCCCCTTCCCGTGCACGTCCAGCGGCCCGGCAGGTCCCCTTCGGCTGTGCCCGGTGCCCACAACCTTCCTTCCCTGCAGCCCCAGCCGCTGCCCGGTCCTGTGCCCCCCTTTCCTCTCTTCTCCCCCCTCCTCCCTCTTAGCGGCCCCTGTAAATGTGCCGAGTCCTGGTGCAGAGGAGTCCGCGGCGCTCCCAGGCCACTCACAGGTGCGGGAGAGCGGTGCGGGGCAGGACGCAGCTCCGGGCGGTCCCTGGGCGAGCGGAGGGAGGGCGCCTGGGGAGACACGGGGTCTGTCCCGGGACCGCCGCCAGCTTATATAGCTCCAGGGCAGCTCCAGCTGACGTCAGCCGGGAGCATGCACTGATGGTGGAGCAATGACGGTCGCGGCTTCGAGTCCAGCGGGTCCCCCGAGGGGCAGGTCCCTGGGGCTTGCGCTGGAAGCGACAGCGGACTCCAGTGAGCAAGACGCTGGCTGGGCGGAAGGATTGTTCTGGAAGCCATGAGAGTCATTCACAGAGAGAAGTCTGCAGTGAGTAGGCCGGTCCCCAGTCCAGACTAGATCGTGGGGCTGTCCATGGTGCTGACCCTGCCCTCTGCCCACAGAGGGGGTCAGTGGCATGGGGAGAATGCTGTGCTGCAGGACCCAGCTTTGTAAACTGAGGCAACCAGGATGCCACAGCTGGCGCTCAGCCATCACCACGTACCCACCCAAGAGGCAGCTGAGGCAGGCTGAGTTGGCCAGGATTCTTGATCTTACTCCAACCCCAGGATCTAAATCCTAGGGCTGACTGGGCACCATAACAAAAGATTTTTGGCCCCAGAATACTTTCAGAGCATAAAAAGCTGATCCGTCTCTTCTGATTTTACCCCAGAATGGTAGTTTAGTCAAGGTAATTTTTCTCCTGGGAATCACAGCGGCACCGTTCCTGAATCTTAGGCTTCCTGGTTAAGATCCCTTGGTAAAAAGTAAGGAAACATGGTGTCTTACTTAGTCCATTGGAGGTGTAACAAACAACAAACAAAAACCTGGGTGGCTTATAAACGAGCATTTATTTCTCACAGTTCTGGAGACTGGAAGTCCCAGATCATGGTGCCAATGAATTTGGTATCTGCTGAGGACCCGCTTAATGGTTCACAGATGGTACTTTCTTGCTGTGTCCTCACTGGCAGCTTTTATAAGGGTACTATCCCCATGAGGGCTCTGCCCTCATGACCTTTTCACTTCCCAAAGGTCCCATCTCCTAATACCATCACCTTGGACACTGGGTTTTCCACATGAATTTGAGGTTATACAAAAAAATGCAATCTCTAGGACATGGGCTCAAATTTCTGTTCTGCCACTAACTTATGGTGTGGATAGGTCCTCACTTCTATAGACCTAGTTGTCTTCATTTGTAAAGACTGGGCTTGAGAGGTCTCTAGGCTTTTCTTTCCATCTCTAGAAAATTTGACTCCTTAGTATTTTTCTGTTGGGTCTTACTCATTGCCTCTGCAGGTTCCAGATTACATTTGTATAGAGGTACCCGATTCCATATTTATGGCAGTACCACATAAAGAGTTTGACGGGATCCCCAAAGAACTGGAGCTACACTGGGGCTGGGCATGGTTGGATAAATGACAATATCAATGAAGAGTGGGGATAAATGGCATTTGCCAGGATATGGGCATAAACTAAAGTTGCCAAGATCATATGGTCCAACAAATACTATGGACTGCCTATTATGTGGTGGGCCTAAGACCACAATAAAGATTTTAGTGAATTCAAAGGGAGTCAGTTAACATTTTAGAGTGAAATAAGCCATTTCATAGTGCTGACCCTATTAAGTTCTGGTCAGCAACCAAACCCCATGAAAACTGGTGTGCCCACTTTGAAGAGGCCATCTGACCGTTCCAGGGTCAAGGTGCATCACTGCAAGGCAAGCTTAGAACCGATGTGCCTTCCAGGACAGGTAGGAGTTCCAGATAACAGCAACACACTGGACGACAGCCAACCTAGGGAACAGGAACGGCATCGTGAAGAGGATGGATCAGGAGAAAGCAAAGGGGGAGAGACAGGGAGAGTGTGATGGAAGAGGGGGCGTTACATCTGAGAACATCCATATTCAGATCTCCTTCCTCCAGCCCGCTACGGAGGGACGTGTGGCTCAGATCAGAAGACAACCAGCTCAGTGCTGTCCCAGACTCCTGCACAAGAGCCTCAAAGTGTAATGCCCTCAGCAGCCATCTTACCTTGCGTGGCTCTGTTGTTCAGCCCCTGAGGAGGCTCCTTCTAAACACACGTATCTCTGCACCTTGTACCAGCTGAGATCTCATCTTCAAAGTGTACTATCTGCCATTGAAAGTAGCGCCTTCTCCTCTTTATTTTACATTGTTTTAGCTTCACAAAGACTGTTGCAAGGACCCTCATGTTTAAATTTTGGTTCATAAGTCTATATTCCTTTTAGCTATGCTATTCATGCTCATTTTGGCCATGTCCTCTCTGAAGAGTTTTGTATATTTCCCTATTCCAAAGCCCCCTCACAATAATTTTAACTAGTCATCTTGAATTTCACTTTTTAAAATTGTAGTTTCAGTAACTACCTTTAGTATTAGGATAAAATAACACTTTGCAGTAGGCTAACCCAGTGGTTGGCAAACTGAGGCTCACGAGCCACAAGCAGCTCTTTGGCCCCTTGAGTGTGGCTCTTCCACAAAATACCACAACCTGGGCAAGTCTATTTTGAATAAGTGGCATTAGAAGTTTAAGTTTAAAAAATTTGGCTCTCAAAAGGAATTTCAATCGTTGTACTGTTGATAATTGGCTCTGTTAACCAATGAGTTTGCCGACCACTGGGCTAACCTGCCTGTGGACTAACCTCACCTATATGGCTCTTTGGTCACTTTTCCGTGTAATCGAAGGAACTGTCCCTGCAGCAGGGAGAGAGCTCAGGTGGGATGAGCCAATGGCTGGGGAGCAGGACCCTCCCTGGGAAGATGAAGAAGGTCAGTGGGCAGATACTCTGGGACAGGTTCTGAGTAAAATGTTCAGGAGTCTAGGAGCTCTGATCAGGCAGAGTATTCTGGGAGGCATCTAAAGTAGCTCAAGCCCCAGCCGGCTTGCCCCTATTGGCCCTTGGACTGAAGGGTCCCAGGTCAAGGGCATGTAGCTTGGTTACAGGCTCCATCCCCGGCCTCAGTCAGGGCGTATGTGGATGCAACCAATCGATGTATCTCACATCATGTATCTCTGTCTCTCCCCCTCCCTTCCACTCTCTCTAAATATCAATGGAGCCAAAACCGGTTTGGCTCAGTGGATAGAGCGTCGGCCTGCGGACTGAAATGTCCCAGGTTCGATTCCGGTCAAGAGCATGTACCTTGGTTGCGGGCACATCCCCAGTAAGGGGCATGCAAGAGGCAGCTGATCAATGATTCTCTCTCATCGATGTTTCTAACTCTATCCCTCTCTCTTCCTCTCTGTAAAAAATCAATAAAATATATTAAATAAATAAATAAATAAATAAATAAAAATATATTTTTAAATATCAATGGAAAAAATATCCTCAGGTGAGGATTAACAAAAAAACAAATTAGAAAAAATAAAGTAGCTCAAGGTTGAATGAAAATCGCTCTATCTACAGTTATGCATAATGTGGCTCTCCCTTGAAGAGTGGGGTAGGGAAATGGCATACCTGTAATATAGGGGAACCAGGTAGAAGTTGGCTAGCTGCACAGCGGGCCAGAGCTACAAGAGAGAGAAGGTAAATGTTGGGGAGCTGCCTCCGTTAGCCCACCCTATCCAGAGTGAAATGGACCAATTCATAGTGCTAACCCTATTCAGTTCTGACCAGCAACCATACCCCATGAAAACGCCCATGGTAAGTTGTAAACAAAAACAAGCTGAACAACCGGGTGACTGCTTCCGAGTGTGCCTCCCACACTGGAAATGAGAGAGTAATCCCACCAAGGGATTTCTATGTCAGGAGCACCCCCAATCCCTGACAGCTCTTACATAGTAGTTGGCGATGAGGGCATCAGGATAGTCCTAAGGAGACAAAGAAGGAAGAAATTACTTGCACTTCCATGCAGCTCCTGCCTCCCAGTCCTATCACACACAGACCTCTGTTCAAAGAACACATATCTGCACCACACTCTCCTGCAGAGCTGGGACTCTACCTGCACATCCACCTGTCTCACCCCCATGAAGCTTGCCTCATTGCCCTGACATGCAGCTGGACAGCCAGAGATCTCCCCACACCTGCCCAACTCACCCGCTGGAGTTTGGCCCAGTTGTCCCGGGCTGACAGCCCATTGAGCGCCCCTATCAGCGAGAGGAAACTGCCTAGAAAACATGGGGCAAAACACCCCTGGGGGAGAGAAATGAAAATGCTGTGAGCACCTCAACCCCTGTCCCAATGCAGCTCACCCTCCTCAACCTCCTTTCCTTCTGCTCACCTGATCCAACAACATCTTCTTTAGAGCATCCACCTTGGTGGTGCCAGGGATGAGCCGGTCCAAAACCTTGTACCAGCCTCCTATGACAGGGCCCTGAAAGCAAACCCCAGGGAGGGGCAGTGAGGGAAGCAGTTGGCTTCTACATCACACAGCTCCTCCCCCAAGCGTTAGAAACCAAACCCCAGCACAAGCATTCACTCAGGTTAGCGTAGATGTGTGAGAAGCCAAGGGAAACAGACCACTGTCCAATCCACCAGCAGCCCTGCTATGGGCGGACTTACCACAAAGCCACAGCCCAGAGAGGCCATGGTCAGGGTCCGGCTAATCTGGTGTTTCCGCACACCTCGCCTCTCCACCAGCTGCTGTGAGATAATGTCACCCAGGCCCATCAGGGACCCTGTGCAGGGTACACAGGTGTTGTCAGGACACCTCCCGGTGGGCTGCCACTCCAAGGAGGTGGATCAGCCTGCTGACTGAATGAGGCTCTGGCACTCTGGGCCCAAGGGGCTTAATTCTGGGACAAATGGCCCGGTCCCTTGCTGATGCTTTCAAGTTATTCTCTCCCAAGGATGGTGACCCCTCATGTGTGACCTGTTAAAAACTGTGATGAGCAGCCCTGAGCCGGTCAGACCTGAGAACTCTGCACGGAGCAATCAAGTGAAGTCGGAGTCAGAAACTGAAGCTAAAGGAAGGAGAATCTAAGGCATCAGGGACTGAGAACCACACTGTCAGAATCAGAAAGGCCTTCCATGTAACTTAGCGGTATGGGAATAGAGGTCTGTATCCTCACATAGTAACCAGGGAGTGGCAGAGCCAAGGCAACGCCAGATGGTGTGATTTACTAGACAGTTTTCTTTCCAGGACACAGCACTGTGAGTAGGTCATGTATAGAATGGTAAGGAACCCTGGTTTTTCCCCAAAGCCCAAGGCAAGACCCTGGTCAATGTCCTTCACCTTGGTCTTGGGGTCTCGAGTTGTGGATAAGAGCAAGGATAGCTAACTCTTTTTTAAAACATGAGTGTTCAAATGGTCCTAGTTAGGAAGATGACGGGCTGAGGTGGTAAGAGTCCCCATAGGGAGGAGTCCCGCCCACCTCTTAACACAATCAGGTAAACCCATTTCCCCACTCACAATCTCAGATTGAGCTGGCAAGGTATTATAGCCATTTCTCCCCCAAGCTTCTACACCTGCTTCCCCTCCCCCACCACGCTTCGCTGGCATGGATACCCAGCTCTAAGCAGCCCTTGTCAGATGCCTGTACCAGGAAACAAGACTATTTACAGAGCCCCCCTTCAGCTATGGTGGCGTGATGGCTTCTAGCAAATACACTAATATATACAGGGCTGCTTGGGAGTGACCGCATGATCTCCAGCTCGGCTGTCCATCTCACGGAGTAATGAGTCCCCCTCCAGCCCCATAGCCACCACTGTCCTTGTGCCCTCAATTAGCTCTGGGCAAACACATCCTTCAACCCTTCCCTTGGCCGGGAGCTGGCTCTGACGTTGGTGCTGGCTGCACACTCACTGCTCTTCCCCCGCATCCTCTGCACAGCCCGGCCCCGGAGCAGCCTCGTCAGAGGCCGCTGAGCAAGGCTGAGCTAGAGCTGGGGCGCCTGTAGGTGACCTGGGCTGCTGGTCTCAGCACAGCCATTAGGACAGCCCTGCCTCTCCTCTCCCTGAAACTCCCATGGTGGGGGAGGTCCTCCCCAGAACATGACTACTCGCCACCTGCCAATACCTATTGACAGGATCCCAGGCATCTTTGTTCTTTCACCCTTAGCCGTATGTAATCGATCCCCTGGCAGGTGCTCCGGAAATAAAGGAGAAATGTCAAATGTACTGCCCCAAACAACAGGGCTGCTCTGGGAAAGGGCGTTAAAGAACTCTGAGTCTAGCCCAAAGGACCACGTCAGGCTCAAGGTGTGAGGACCAGTGGAACTGAAGGCTTGCTCCCCTACTTAGCATGTAACTCCCTGTGCCCCTCCCTGACAACTTGGGGTCACCAGCTGCACTCCCAGGCTGGGGAGGGAGCCATTGTAGCCATGCTTAAAGGGAAGGGAGATGCGGGCACTTGTTAAAAAGACTAACAGCTTGACATTCTACTTTAGCAAGGTGTTTAGAGCTTACAAAGGGCTCTCATACATTTCATCCTCACAAAAGGTCTGGGAGGTAGGGGTCCCACATCCATTTGTCTTTGAGGAAGAGGGACTTGATGAGACATGGAGCTGGGGGCCTGAACCCAGAGCTTCTCTCCAGGAGGAACAGAGAATTCCCAGAGTACCTGAGACTTGGCTCCTGTGGCTGCTACTCGCAGGGGGTTCCTGCCCTTTGCCAGAACCAGACCCCAGAGGCCTGCATCTCAAAGATACTTCTCTGTGTTTTGTTTTTGTTTTGTGTGTGTGTGTTTTTTTAAAATATATTTTGATTTTTTACAAAGAGGAAAGGAGAGGGATAGAGAGCTAGAAACATCAATGAGAGAGAATCATCAACCAGCTGCCTCCTGCACACCCCCTATTGGGGATGTGCCTGCAACCAATGTACATGCCCTTGACCGGAATCGAACCTGGGACCCTTCAGTCCGCAGACCGACGCTCTATCCACTGAGCCAAACTGGTTTTGGCACTTCTCTGTTTTTACTCCCCAGAATGTGACACCATCTCTGTTCCTTGTCACCTGTGGGGAGTGAAGCAGCCAGGTTCCTGGGGAAGAAGCTGTCACACAGACAGCTGTGTGTTTCCACTCTTCACGCCTGCCAACTGTCATCAGCAAGTTCAAGGCAGAGCAGGAATGAAAACCAAAGTCCCAATTCTAGCCCCGTAGCCCTGCAGCCTCTGAGAAAGGTGGATTCCAGGCCCCTAACCATGCACACCAAACCTCAGAGACACCGAGGGACAGGGCAGCAGCAGGAGAGGCGCTGTGTAGCTCAGGAGTCCCGCCAGTTCTGTCCATTTCAGACAGGACAGGACCAAGGTTCCCTTCTGCCCACAAATCATCAGGCCCCTGAGCCTCAGCCACTCCAGGGTGGTCTATGGCTTTGCTCTCAGCACAGAGCAAGGCCTACATTTCTGGTCCAAGTGGCTGGGCAGGAAAGGCTGACATTCAGATTCCGTATTCCACTTCCCCGAGCCCAGTCCTGGGAGCCCTTTTAGGCAGATGTGGTTGGTCTGGCCCTCCTTCCTTTGGGCTTGTTTCCAGGGATTGGGGCTGGAGGCCTGCAGAGACATACTGCCTGAGCCCTGATGGGGCAGGGTGAAGGGCTGCTGGCCAGTGATGCCCCAAAGCTAGGCTGGGCACAGAGCCCAGTGGGCAGACGTTGGCACTGGCGTGACGTCATATCCCTGGGCAGGTGCCAGTTCTCATGCCGTCACTCGAGTCCGAATTCAGCAGAGTGGGGGCGGGTTGGGGCGGGGAGTGGGGGTTGGGGGGAGCCTGCCTCTGAGCACAGAGGGAATTGGGACCGCTCCTCTGTCCACTATGGAAAAGCCCCACTTCTATCCCCTCTTCCTAGGTGCAGGTGGGAGTGAGTTCTCTATTCTGTTCCTCTCCTGGCTTTTGTGCATGGAGCCTTAGGGGCAAGGAAACAAGTGTTAATGGAGGAGAACAGGCTGGGGGCAGAGAGTTGGCAGGAAGCGTGTCCTTGCGGACAGGAGACCCGAGCTGTCAGGTAGAGCTGCTGCTGTGGGGCCAGGGGTGCTGTTGACTCATTCCTCCCCAGAAGCCTCCAGCCACTCAATAGCTGCCTGGCATAGGGGCTTGGTCTGGCAGAGCCCACAGGGAGCTGGAGCCCAGCAGAAAGGGGGGAGTGCATCCTCTGGGCTTGGTCTGAATGTCTTCCCATTCCTGACCTGGACCTACCAATCCTATGTTTGCTAGAAAACGAGACCAGAGGGCTCTGTAGCGTGTTGGGTGTCTAAGCCCAGACCAGCTGGGGCTACACTCAGCATCCTGAGTTCCCAGGAGCCTCAAGTGCGGGGCAGCGCATTGGCAAGCGCCATAGGCTCTAATGCCAGCTCTCCCAACGATGAGGTGAGACCTCAGGGCATGTGTCTCTCCTTGCCTCAGTTTCCTTTTCTTTTTTTTTAATTTTTAATATATTTTATTGATTTTTTACAGAGAGGAAGGGAGAGAGCAATAGAGAGTTAGAAACATCGATGAGAGAGAGTCATTGATCAGCTGCCTCTTGCACACCCCCCACTGGAGATATGCCCGCAGCCAAGGTACATGCCCTGACCGGAATCGAACCCGGGACCTTTCAGTCCGCAGGCTGACGCTCTATCCACTGAGCCAAACCGGTTTCAGCGATTCTCTCCCATTATTGATGTTTCTATCTATCTATCTATCTATCTATCTATCTATCTATCTATCTATCTATCTCTTTCTCCTTCCCTCACTCCCTCCCTCCTTTTCTGTTCCTCTCTGAAGAAAAACATGTATTTTTTAAAAAAAGACTAACTTACTGTGCCTGGGTTGCCAACACTCATAGAACACTCCAGGCCAACCCCTCGAGCCTTGAAGATTACTAACAGTTTTAAGTCTCTAAAGCCTCTTCTCAGAGGTAATCCCTACACTTACTCTGTGAAGTCATATAAGTAAACTCAAGTTCTAAATGAGGAAACTGAGGCTCAAAGACTTGTTCGTGCAGCTACTACTAACTGCTATGGCTCTAAGATTCAAATCACGGCCTTCCAACTCCAAGTCTGAAATCTCTGCTGTTTTCTAATGTGATGAGCTACCCTATGGACCTTTAGGCACCACTGTGCTGAGATCTAAAGACAACTCAGTGAGCAATTTACACTGAACAGCAGGAAGAGACACCTGAAAGATCTGGAAAAGCCGAGTAAAGTGCTACCCAGCGGTTGCTTCGGGGCTGAGCTGTTGGCACTGCCTCAGAAAGACGGCAGGTATGGAGCCACAGGGCTGTCGCACTGACAGACAAGCCCCCAAGTCAGCTGCATATCTGCTCTTGGGCCCCTTGGAGCTCCAATTCCCTCCCTTGTCAGCTGCAGGTGCCTTGAGTAGGGACTATCCTTCCCTCCTTATTCTTTTTTTTCTTTCTTTCTTTCCCTCGCTATTCTTAATAGCCAAGAGGGGAACCTTCCTTCCGGCAGTTAGGGGCCCTGAGGGAATCGGAGGCTGGGCAAAGGGCCCAGAGTGTCAGTTCCCATCACAGCCACACAGTCCAGCATGAGTCACCACACACGCAGCCAGGTGAGTCATACAGGCTGACGGACACTCTGAGGACAGGGCACAGGGTGGCTGGGCACAGTGGGCTGGAAAGGGGCCGGAGGGCAAAAGAATCTACCTTTTGGACAGTCCTCTAGTGAGGTTTCTAGTGCTGATGTGAAGCTATTCTAGTAACAGGATCGCTGTTCCATCCTGGCTTTCAGTATACTCCCTCCTCCCCCTTTCAACAGACTTCCTCTCAGAAGCCCATGGTCCTCATAGAATCCTGTTCCCTTCCTCTAAACATAGGTAAAGCCCTATCTTAACCTGATCACTCTTTTTTTTTTAATATATTTTATTGATTTTTTATAGTGGAAGGGAGAGAGATAGAGAGCTAGAAACATTGATGAGAGAAAAACATCAATCAACTGCCTCCTGCATACCCCCCTACTGGGGATGTACTCACAACCCAGGTAAATGCCCTTGACCAGAATCGAACCCAGGACACTTCAGTCCGCAGGCCGATGCTCTATCCACTGAGCCAAATCGGTTAGGGCTTAACCTGATCATTCTTGTACTGCCCCAATAGTCACACTCCTTATGATTCTTCCCCCTATAATAACTTACTTATCTCCTTGCTATCCCTTACATTAGCTAATATACAAAAACGAACATGATAACAATAACAAATGCAGGCAAGTCACTGGGTAACCGTTGTGAAGTTGTTACAAAGTTGTTACTTAATCACTGGATTTGTAGTAAAAATAAACCCTTGGTTAGTATATTTTTGGGGGATACGTACATAGGTAGTAAAACCATGGGAAAGCAAAAGAATGGTGTAAACAAGTCTCAGCAAAGTGGTTATCTCTTGGGAATCTGAATTAGGGACAGGTGAACAGGGATCTCAAAGTTGGTTACTCATATAGGAGTGCTCCGTTTTGATACTCCTGAAAGTGTACATACATGTCTTAATCATTCTTTTATATGTTAAGATGTATTTCACAATAAAATAAAAAAAACTAAGAAAAACAAAGTGGGATAAGTCCTCACTCACAGAGCTTTGTGGGGACCCTACAAGACAGTGTGTGCGAACCTGACTTGCACACTGTAAAATGTTAGAGGAACGTTTGTTACGGGTAGTTTTCTAAGGTAAGGCCTCTAGATAAATGTTACCGTGTAGTTGGAAGCTGTGAGGATTAGGCAATTCTGGCTTATTGTGTGCAAAGAGGTAAAGGATAGTATAGGCCAGTGCCTTTATCATGAGGGATGACTCCTCAGATCCTACTTTACAGCTAGATCAACTATGCATATTCCTTCTCTTAAGGTGACCCGCCCTCCAAAACGGACTGGAGACAGCTTGGGACGACAGCCAGCCGACTCTGCAAGGGCGCTGAATAGCAGGGAAAAGGGAGGGGGGTGTGGTGGGCAAGATTCTGGCTTCCAAATTAGCCGACTCCGGTCCCAATCAGGTCCCAGAGGGGCACTCACCGGCTGTCAGGACCTGTACTTTCCACGGGTGAGCATTCAGGGCCCGCTGGTATGCCCGCCAGAGTGCCATGCTTCCTGTCAAGCCGAGAGGAGAGGGGTTCAGCCCCACCGCCCCGCCCAAGAGACGCTGGGCTTTCCCTGGTGCCTAGTCCCTCTCCCCCTCCCGCTTTCATTAGTCCATCCTCAGGGGCCTCAGGGGGATGCCTCCTGGACAGCTACCGGTCAGAGGGCCGCCTGGGGCCATCGGGTAAAACAGGGAGGCAGTGAGCGACTGTGAAATCCTGGTGGCAGCCTCCCGCCACCATATGCCAGCCCGGGAGCAGGGCCACCTCCGGGCCGCCGCCCCACGAGGCACTGTTGGGGACAGGCTTGCTCCGGCTTTCCCCGGAGCCTGGCTGGGCCCCCAGACCCAGACTCTCAGTAGGAACCAGCCCGCATCCTTCCGGAGCCCAGCTCCACACGGGAACCAGGGCTGGTCCCTCCTGGGAATGGAACTGTCACGTGCGCCCTGGGCGGACGCGGAGCGGACCCCGGGCCACTCACCTGGGCGCGAGCTCAGCCCCTCCACGTGACCTGGGCGGGCGGCGGGACTTCCGCCGCGAGCCCCGCCCCTTCCGCCTGGCTGGGCGGGGCTTTCCCCGGCCGCCGGCGCGGGAACGGGGGCGGCCTGGTTCGTCAGTACTGCTCGTGGAGAGCGGCTCTGCTCGGTCGGAGCAGATGGCTTTCCACGTTGTCCAAGCCCCGAGCCGGTGTTGGTGTGGCCGCGCCTGTCATACTCCCCTCCTGGGTCCGGCCGGGTCTCCTCCTGCCCCTTCCCGCCCCCGCCGCTCCGGCCCCCGGAACTGGCCAAGGTCCTGACTTCGGTCTCCGTCTCAGTTTGGAAACTATGTCAGTAAAGTGTGTGTGCTATGTCTCCAGGTTCTACTTTAGCCACAATTGTGAGTTCCTGAGTGGGTGGGATTGGGTCTTGTTCATAGCTGTTTTCCTCATAGCAACTTGTTCAGTGCTTTGTCCACAATAACTTTTTTTAAAAAATATAGTTTATTGATTTCTTACAGAGAGGAAGGGAGATAGAGAGCCAGAAACGTCGGTGAGAAACATCGACCAGCTGCCTCTTGCACACCCCCTACCGGGGATGTGCCCGCAACCAATGTACATGCCCCTGACCGGAATCGAACCTGGGACCCTTCAGTCCGCAGACCGATGCTCTACCACTGAGCCAAACCGGTTTCGGCTGTCCACAATAACCTTTAGAATGCTGCATCAAGATGACTCCTGCATCGGATTAGATACATTGGGATTAGGTTACGAAGTTTAGGTACTGGTTTCTTTTTTTTAATGTTTTTATTGATTTTTTTTTGAGAGTAAGGGAGAAACATCGATGAGAAACATCCATCAAATGCCTCCTGCACGCCCCCTCCTGGGATGGAGCAGGCAACCCAGTCATGTGCTCTGAGTGGGAATCAACCGGCAACCTTTCAGTGCAGGGGAGGACGCTCAACCCATTGAACCACACTGGCTGGGCTAGGTACTGGTTTCTTAACTAGTGGGCTGGGCAGCTTTGGTTATCACTAGAACTGAACTTCAAGTCTCCTTATCTGTGAAATAAGGGGGTCGGACTTTAACAAACTGGGCTCCAGTTTTACAGATGTTTGTGAGAATGTGTATCACTACAAATCCTTCTTTATCTCAACTTGTTAAAAATATATATACTTATAGAAAGAGCCACTTTTATTATTTATTTATTTATTTATTTATTTATTTTAGAAAGAGCCACTTTTAAACAAAAGGGCCCACAACTAAAAATGTGGGGATTCAGTGATTTCCTAATTACTCTTTACCTCTCTAACATTCTAAAATTTTGTGAATATAGTGCAACATCCTCCTTAGGGATGTAGAAACTCTTACAAGATTCTTGACGATGGATTTGTTAGCCTTTGCTAACTCAGGAGGCAGCCATATCTGATTGTTTTTCAGGCTCTCTACCGATATACTCAATTCCTATATGATTAAGGCAGGGAGAATCCTGTCACAGAAACTGGAGTAAGGAAGCAAGAGAATCCAATGTTACAAACCTTTAACTTTTTACAAGCAAAACACTAATAAAATAATTTTCACTAGTAAATAGGCCAAATGTGACATGTTGGAAAATTGTATTATGAACTCTGAATGTCCAGGTTAAAATCCCAGTAACATCACTTAGTTCCATGACTTTATTCAGACTGGTTAACTGCTCTGAATCTTACGTTTATCAAGTAAAATGGAGTAATACCTGCATCATTTGATTAACTGACATATGGAAAGTACCCAAAATAGACCAAGTGCTTAATAAACACTTGCTTAACCTCCTTTCTTTCTCCCCTTTTGGGAACACATGGAATAATTTTTACTGAAGAAATCTGGGCAGCCCCTTAGTGAAGGTGGAATTTGAGCTGGGATCTTGAGGAAGAGTGCTTAGGTGGAGAAGCCAGAAAAGGACACGCCCAGAGGAGGGACTAGTGTGAAAACAGCCACAGAAGTGCAGAAACCTATGAATAATACAAAGTGGATATATTGGGAGGGAAGGTTAGAAAGGGAGTGGCCTGGAGAGAAAGGGGTTAGAGAAAGAACAGGCTGAAAACATCTTCCTGATTCTCTTTTTGAGGTCAAGACTGGGGCTGACAGTCAGCAGCAGGGTTGCCAGCACCACCTACAGCTTCAACAGCCCCAGGTCCCATCCTTTTACCCCTGACAGGGGGGTTTCAATAATGCAGTGTCAGGGACTATGGCTTAGGATGTGCGGATTTCTCTGCAATGGAAGGCAGTTCCTTAATCAGCTCAAAAAGCGTACTGGCGCAACCTGAGCTGGCTCACAATAGGATGGTGCAATCCTTGGCTCTTTTGCACTGACGTGGGCTGTGGTTCCTCTGCTACTAATGGTCTGGGTCGCCTCCAGGTCTGTTTCCTCTTCTGTACAGGAAGGAAACTGAAGCACTTCATCCCTTTCTTAAAGGTTTTCTGACATATGATGAATTCCTTACACTTAAGAGGCAGAAAGCTATTCCCAGATATCTGGCCAATCAGTCTGGAGTGCCAGCGGGCTTTGTTCCAAGTAGGCACTAAACTAATTTCTACTCCCTTCAAATAGCAGCTGGCTGTGTATTTTTCTCTAAAATAGTTGAAGTCATCTACTTACCCCAAAACCCCGATTGTACTCCTATACATTCCAAGACTATGATCTGCCTCTTTCTCATCGCTGGGGTATGTCCTAGCTTGGGAAGCAATACTGCAATCATGAGTCTGCGACACCCCACAAAAGGATTTTAACAAGATGAGCTCTAACAATACAGCAGGCCCTCAAATAACCTCATTTCATTATATGAGATGCCAAATGAACGTAAATCTTGTTTATATCAACTTACCTATAATAAAATTGGTCTCCTTATATGTTGTTTAAAGTCACAGAACCTTGCCTCAGTTGGGTAGCTCAGTTGGTCAGAGCATTGACCCAATACACCAAAACTGCGGGTTTGGTCTCCAGTCAGGGCACATAAAAGCAACCAATGAATGAATGAATGGAACAACAAGAAAAAAAAAATCCATTCTTTCTCTCTCCCTCCCTATCTCTAAAAATCAAGACATTAACAAATTTAAAAAATGTCACACAAGCTATTGATAAGGGTGGACTTACTATACGTGGCTTGTAAAAATCTATATATAGGGTTGAAATAAAGTAGCTAAACATGTTTAATGTGACAATATCATGAAGGATCAAAAATCATAACGTGTAAAAGAATGGTTAAGGTAACTGAAGATATTTAATCTAGAGAAGACTTGGGAAACACATGATAGCTATTTTAAACACTTCAAAGGGCAATCACAGGTGAGAATTACTAGAATTCCTAATACCAATGGTAAAATCTAGAGGTATACTCTGACTGGATATAAAGATTTCTAAAACAGGACTGTCTAGCAGTGTTCAAGTAGGGTCAGATGACCAGTGATCAGGAATATTTCCTAAGCAGGAGCAAGTAAGATCTGAACCACTGTTCTATCGGTAGTGTGTCTGTGGTGTTCCTCAGTTAAAAACTACTACAAGCAGCTTCAGTCCAACAACTTACTACCCCCGTCCCCATGGGCTTGCATGTTGGTTACTCTAAACAGGAAGCTGGGAAGGCAGTAATACTGGATCCTGGGATATAGTCAGAAGCCTTCATGCAGATACTCTTTCCAGTTTTCCAAACACCCACTCACATGTGGTCTCAAAAACACCCAGTACCTTTACTTAGCTTTACCCACTTCACAATATGCTCAATATGAGCAATTTGTCTCCCAAGCCTAGATCGGGCCTGAGTGTTTCTTGTGAGCCAGTTTAGGCTGAGGAGCCTTGAGAGTTTGTGGAGGAGAAGCCTCCAAACGTGATGACAGCTGATCCATGGGAGGAGAGGTATCTAAGGAATCCTGGGAGGCAGATCTAACGGTCCAGGCCTGGCAGCATCACTGTCCAAGAAGGCCCCAGTCTCTATGGTCTATGCGTGGGGCCATTTGTTCTTGGCAGACTTCATTCAAGGGTCTTGTGTGGACCATGACTAGGGATTGGGCAGGAGGCGATGGGTGGTTGGAGGGAAGCCAGGCCCTTTAGCAGAAGAGGACGACTGGAACACAGCATTGAAGTGGGCTCGGCTTTCAAGCTGCATACGGTGGCCCAATGGGGAGGTGAGTCCACGGACAAAATGGATCCGAACCAGCCCTGACTGCCCCCCAGATACGAGCCATCCATACGAGTCCAGGTTTGGGCTGAAACGTACCTGTGAAGAGAATAGAAAATAAGAGAGAGATGCTCATAGTTGGTGCTTATGGTGAGTGCCAGTTGTGAGAGCAAAAAACCTGGCCACAATCTGACAGGATAGGACCGTGAGAGGGTGAGAAGACAGTGACCAAAGTAAGTTCTTGAGGATGAGTTCTCCAGAGCTGTTTTCCCTCCTAAGCCCTCTTGGTTGCTTTTCATCTCCCATTTCACTGATCACAGGTCCAGAATTGGGAGAAAATGAGAATGAAGGGTGGAGAGGATAAGAGGCAAGGTTCTTACTTTATGAATAGCCTCCAGCTGCAGCCTGTCCAGACAGAGCTGAGCCTGCCCCTCTCCCTCCTGCATACGCAGCACTGGTTCTCTACGGAGCAGATCATGGAAGGAACCCTGGGGAGGGGAAGTGTAATGAGAGACAATGAGCAGCTTCTTAGGTTTGCATCTTGGTGCTGGAACTCCTTAGGATTCCCTATTACATAAGGACTACAGTTTCCTACTTTTCCTGGTGCCACACCCCTTCTCCTGGGCCAATTTACCAAATCTGTGTCTTGAAAGAGCAAATAGTGATGGTTGACGGTTTCAGCATAAGTTCGAGCCTTGGGTGGGTTGAGGGCTCCAGATGCAGAAGAGTGGTCTTGACCTTCAGGACTATCCTGATACGGCATCAGATCTGCTTTATATATAGGCTAGAAAGGAGACCATAAGGTTAGGTCTCATGAGACTGAAGACAAAATGAAAGTAAAAGAGAGAAAATTGATTTGGGGCAGGAGAGACTTAAAGATGGAGAAAGCAGTATGTTCAAACATATGGTCAGATGAACTAGGGTAGGCAATATTGTGCGTAACAAGACTCCCGGGGATAATACCTGAACTAACCTGTAGTACTAATTTGGGAGGCCATGTGGATTAGGAACTAATAAATGATGCTGCCAATAAATATTCATATACGTACAAATCTTCGCTCTACAGGTCGCTTGACAGTTATTGGGTTCAGTGCCATATCAGGCAATATAGCTGCAATGAGCTCCCCGGATGTATCTCCTGCAGCTATTGTCCCAAGCCAGTCGGACCCTGAAAGACTCTAGTAAGAAAAGACAGATTCATTCAGTTCTGTGAACTGATAATAATTGCATCCTCAGGGGGGAGAAACACACACACACACACACACACACACACACACACACGAGTTTATCATAACCCATATCCCTAATGATACAGTTACCACACACCTATCTTCTATAAAAAACTACCACCTCTTCCCGACCACCACTAGAGGAGTAAAGGAATCATTTTCCTGTGTAATGAAGATTTCGAAGAGAGGGCTCACCCAGACAGTGCCTTTTCGAGGAGCAGTGAAGTAGGCCTTGAAACCAAGGTAACCAGCATCAATATAATGAATTCCACAGAGTCCATAACTGTAAGAGAAAGAGGAAATGAAGCTTCCCTTTTCCTAAGATTAATTTCTTCTCCCCATGTCCTTCCAGAAGTCAAACTACCTTACTGAAATCATCCCCAAGCCTCCTCTCCCCACACAATAATCTGGAACTCTGAGACCCCAACCCCGAAGGTCTGTGCCCCGAGCTTCTCCTATCTCCATCCCGCCATACGAGGCATAGCAGTTGTCCTGAGCCACGGTGACACCATTGTAGGGGAGCAGCCAGGCCAGCTCTGTACTCAAGAAGCGCTTGATAGAGTTTATTGGTTCATAAGGTCGTCGAAGGTCCCAGAATTTGATTTTCCGGTCGCTCCCTGCAGACACTATGAAATGACTGTGGAAAGATGAAAGATGAAGGAGAAGTTAAAATCTGAACGAGTCTGAAAGAGTCAGCCTTAACCCAGCTTCACCTCCCGCCTCCACAACTCTCCTATTCCAACCTGTTGGCTTTGCACCACTGAAGGGTACGCACAGCCTGGTCATGGGCTAGGAAACCCTGGAAGGGGTAGAGCTTCAAAGAGCCATCAGGGAGCCGTATCCGCTGCAAGGGCGAGTTAGTGGGAAGGTTCCAGAAAACCACCATGCCTGCGGTAGGGACATAACATGTAGGTATTAAGGCAGGTTCTCTCTTCCTTACTCTAATTGCCTTCTCTATCTTCTATTCTCAGATCTGATCCTCTATGAAATGACATAGGGATAATGATAAGCTAGTCCATTCATTCCCTCATACTTTAAAGACTCAACCTGTTATTTTTAGTTCCAGGCTTGCTCCGGCTTTCCCCGGAGCCTGGCTGGGCCCCCAGACCCAGACTCTCAGTAGGAACCAGCCCACATCCTTCCGGAGCCCAGCTCCACACGGATCAGATCTGATCCTCTATGAAATGACATAGGGATAATGATAAGCTTGGAAGCATAGGGATAATGATAAGCTTTTGTTGCTTGGAATTGGAATTTTAGTTCCAATTCCAAGCAACAAAAAAGTATTATCTTAGTCTGGGACCTGCAGTTAAAAAGTTTGGTTGAATGCACTCAGTAGCTTCTACTTCCTACTAAATCTAAGTAAAGGGATTCTGAAAGACCATAAACTGTCTAAGAGAGGGCTGGCAACCTATAGCCCATGTGCCAATAATAGCCTGCCACCTAATTTGGTAAATAAAGTTTGACTGGAACACAGCCCACTCATTCATTTATCTAATGTCTATGGCTGCTCTCGCTTTACAATAGTGGAGGCGAATAGTTCCAACAATGGCCAAATAGTCCATATAGCATAAAATATTCACTATCAGGACCTTTACTGAAATGTTTGTCAACTCTGCTCTAAGACAAAGAGAATGGGCAAGGAGCCAAAAGCAACAAAATGCAGAGAACAAAAAACAAATAGACAAACAAAAACTAACTTGGCTGACCCAAAACAAGTTGACCCCGACCAGGCTGGCAGAGCAGGGGATAATAAAAAATGTAACTTTGATTAAAATAAGAGATAACTGCCTTGGCCAATATGCCTTAGTTAGTTGAGCATTGTCCTATGCACTGAAAGGTTGCTGATTCGATTCCCAGTTGGGGCACAAGCTCGGGTAATGGGTTCATCCCGGTACAGGAAACAACCAACTGATGTTTCTCTCTCACATTGATGTTTCTGTCTCTCCCTCTCTCGTCTTCTCCAATATCATTAAAAACATTATATAATATATATATATATTTTTTTTAAAAGACAAACTAATAAGTAGAATTTTAATAAGTAAAAATTGGGAAAAATGTATGTAACTAAAACCTCTTTTATATATAAACTCAGGAAATGTAATACCCATGAACCTTTCTTGAAAAAAAATGTATTAACAGTAAATTACAGCTAAGCAGCATTAATAATTCAGCAATAGAGGGAAAGACAGATGAAAGGAGTAGTAGAGACTTGCAATAATTTCAATGTAAAATTACGATTTAATAACTGGGAATTAAGGCAGCAAGGCAGCATCAAGTATCATGTACCTTGACAATGTAAGAATATCACTAAAAGAAACACAATTAGGGGATGGTGGAAGAGATAAGGAGAAGAAATGTGAAAGTGCAATTTCCTTACCTCCCCAGCAGGAAGGCTATTGATAATTTCTAAAACTTGTCACTTAAAAACGACAACCTAACACCTCCAACTACTTAATGTTATTTATAATTTTTATTTTTCCTTTTTAATCTTAAAAACATCTTTAAGGAACTAATGTCTCTTTGGTAAAGGAATATCTACTGGGAGTTTAGCTCATCTTTCAGTTTCAGTTGTCTTTTCTACTATAAAATCAAAATATAATTACATCTAATACCTTTTCATTTAAAATTGCTATAGTACATGATCCCATTCTTTTTAAAAAAATACATTTTATTGAGTTTTTATAGAGAGGAAAAGAGAGAAATAGAGAGTTAGAAACATCAATGAGAAACATCGATCAGCTGCCTCCTGCACACCCCCTACTGGGGATGTGTCTGCAACCAAGGTACATGCCCTTGACCGAATTGAACCCGGGACCTTTCGGTCCGCAGGCTGACGCTCTATCTACTGAGCCAAACCAGTTTCAGCTGATCCCATTTCTTTTCATATTTACATATGCACAGAGAACTACATGAAATTAAGTTCCTCTACTCAATTACTTTTCTAAGTAGAAACATTCCAATAGCTTTTTCCCTCGTCTCTGTATTTTTTTTTTACATTGCCTGAATGTTTATAACTATGTAATGCTCAACACTCAACCAAAAAGGAAACAACAACCCAAAGCAAGCTTAAAGAGCAATAGCTCCTTAGGTTTTGTTTTGTGTTTTACCATTATAGTATCCCGCAGCCAGGTGGTGGTGGGGCCGGGTGGGCATCCAGGCCAGGCTAAGGCACTGACCACACTCAGAGGGGTCTGATACCTGCACAGACCCCACCTGCAGGGTTGCCACACATTGAACCTGCAGGGACAGAAGAGATGGGACTAGGTTAGGAATACCTATTGTTTGGAATGAAGACTCAGATTAGTGTCCAATCCAGCAGGAGAGGAAGATCTCTCAGAGTGAGAAAGACTCACTAAGGATTCAGTAAGGGAGGCTCCAGAAGATGGAGCCTGGGTAAGGCAGCAGGTTCCTCACTCACCTTATAGATGGCGGGCTTCATTGCATCTGTGAGGGGAAAAGAGCAGAACTGATTCTCTGGATCCAGAAGACCGAGGTCCTAATAAGCCTTGCTCTTAGATCAGCATCCCACCCTTTCAATAATGACGTTCCTTTACACTCTTATCTTTTCTCCATGTACGAGCCCACCTTTCTCTGCCCCATCTTCTTCTTTCCTCCTATTCTCACAGTACCCTATCAGAATGGCGGTTCCCTCCACTCTGCTCTCTTCTCACCATTTCCCAAAGAACTTTGCTCTCTGGTTACCCATCCTATCATCTGCATTATTCATTTTCTCTCCCCGTCCTGGGTCATTCTCACATTCACACTATCGCCTCCTATCTAAACCAACCAAACAAGACTCTTACCTCCATCCACTACCCTGTTACGTGTTCCCCTTCACAGCCAGACTTTCTGAAAAAAATTGTCTATCCATTCTATCTTCACTTCTTCACCTCCCAATCGCTCCTCAAGCCACTCCTCCACCTGCTCACCAAACATGGGCCTTCTCAGGGTTCAAACTGAGATGCCCTCTTCAACTCAGTGCAGTTGAAAAACAAGTAAATTCAACCAATAAGAGCTGCCTTCCCCTAACCCTCCTCTTCTTGCTCATATTCAGCTCTATCTTCTCTCCCTCTGTTTACAACAGAGAGTGTGTTTCTATGTATGTGTGGTGGTGAGGACAGGAGAGGCTGAGGACAAGATTAGGAGAATAAGAGTATGAAAGGGACGACTGGGCCTATTAGTCAGCCTCAGCCGTTGGCAGTTCTTTACACAGCTAATTGTGGCCACGGAGGAAGAAGCCTGAGAACAGGGAGAACAGGGAAGAGAGGGAGATGAAGGCAATGTGATGAAAAAGTGCAGTTATAAGTCTGCAAAAGAGAATTATTTGTGGGCTGCTGAAGAGAGAGGTCAAGTACAGAACGTGTGAAGCCAGAATGGAAGTTGTGGCTGTGCAAGGCTTTGTACTATAGAGACTGGGCCTAGAAGAGTTTCCGGGGAGATGGACAGGCCCTACAAAGTTCTGGCCATGGCCACAGCAGCCTCATTCTCCTTTTTGCTGGGCTACTCACCTGGGGGCTGCTGTGCCAGCAGGGCGTCAGGATGGGGCAGACTGAACAGCAGCACCTTCCCGTCTGAGCAAGCAAGAGCCAAGAGACCCAGCCGAGGCAGGAGAGGAGCCTAGAGGGTGAGACCAGATCTGTGCTGAGGACTGCAGGCTTAGGAGCCTCTCAGAAAACTTCTGAGGTTCTAGTTTCTGGAAATACGACATGAGGTTGCTAGAAAAAAATGCCATCCACCACCATTCAAACTCTGTTCCTCCTACTCTGGGAACACCCAGAGCCTTTGTTCTGGCTCTGAGTCCAAGGGCCATCACACAATCAACTGGGAGGTACCTTCCGAGGGGTGCCTGGAAGTTCCCATGCTCCACTGGGGCAGAACTTGAGGTCCCAAATGCAGCCGTGGTCACAAGCAATCCCATAGACAAAGTGGGCCCTGTTGCCAGGACTGAGGAGAGAAGCCATTTGGGGAATATGGGTAGGAAGAAGGGGGTCTAGGGCTGCCAGAGCCTGTGTGCTCCCCTTATTTCAAACCAATCCAAGCCCTCCCTCCCCCGCAACCCAAACCCGGATCCTGCCCAGCCCCATCCGTCGCTCCTCCTCAGACACCCTCCCGGAGACAGCAGTGTCCCAGCCCCACCTCACCAGCTTTCTTGCTGCAAAGTCCCAAGGCCCCAGAGCTGCAGTAGCCCGGGACCCGAATGAAGCTGGCTCAGTGAATGGGTCTCATTCATGTCAGGGCTGGAGAAAAGGGCCACGTACTGCGAGGCTGCGGCCCCCTCCGGCACTGGGCACCAGTCCAGAGCCCAGAGCGGGCCCCCTGTGAAGAAGGACACATCCCAGCGCTCTGGGTGTGCCGTGATTGAGCTAAATCTGGAGACAATCAAAGATAGAATGAAAAAAGGAGTTAATAAAAGGTAATGAAAAATTCATAGGTGAATGAATAAATAAACAGTGATACGTCCAAACAAACGAAGTATTTGTCCAAACCCATAGAATGTACACACACCAAAAGTGAACCCTAATGTAAACTATGGTCTTGGAGTGACTATGCTATACCAATGTAGGTCATCAATTCTGGTGGGGAATGTTGATAGTGGGAGAGGTTATGCATGTGTGGGAGCTGGGGGTATACTAGAAATCTCTATCACTTCCTTTCAATTTACCTGTGAAGTTAAATTGCTCTAAAAATTCTAGTTAGTAAAAAGGTAATGAGGACAGAATGGGAATTCCACCGGAGTTAAAAGAACTGGCTTCAGCAAGGCCCAGAGGATCAGGACAGCCTACAGGTGAGAGCAGTCCTAGCTCTCGTTTGTGTCTTCCTCCTTTCCCTCCCAGTCCTTCTGTTCTAGTTCACCTTCAAAGACGTCAGGTATGCATCCTGGTTACTACAGTGTTCTCTCCGGGGCCAGTCTGTCAGGGACTACCTGAGTATAGATGAGCTTGTAAACAGGTTTGACCCTCAACCTCCATAGTGTCCTTCAGTCTGGCCAGCAGCAACGAGCACTGCAAACTAGAGGGGACTGACCAGATCTGCCCAGGACTCCGACCCTTGGGATCAACTGGACCAGCAGCAGGGGAAGAACAGGGCCAATCTGTCTTCCCTTCCTTCCAACATTCATTTTTCCTACTTCTCTCCTAGAATTAGAAGAAGAGATGTAATCTTCACCTGTTTATGCGGTAGAGTGTGCCATCTTCAGGAAGTCCTTCACGTTGTACAGAAAACAGTGGAGACTTCTCCTCCTGGGGCAGGTAGGGAGCTGCCTCACTAGGGAAGGCAAAGGGAACAACAGCCTGAATCTGGAAGAGTTTCTCCTTTTCCAGGTTTCCCGTCATAAATCTAGGTCCTCTGTCACTCTGCAGCCTCCAGTGGTATCACCTCCCCCCCCCCCCCAAGGCTTCAGAGACGGCTCTTCAACTTACAGTTCAGATAACAAGTGCCACTTCCAGGCTAAAGGAATCCATTCTGCAAACTCCCAGTACGAATGCTTCTGTTCACGGCTAGAGGGACGGAGAAGCATTAACGAAGGAAGAGATAAATTCTATGCAGTTCTGGCCAAAAAAACTTTCTGTGATAATGGTCCTGGCCAGTGTGGCCCAGTGGTTGAGTGTCAACCTATGAACCAGGAGGTCACAGTTCAATTCTTTGTCAGGGCACAAGACCCCTAAGTGTGGGGTGTGCGAGAGGCAGCCAATCAATGAATCTCTCTCATCACTGATGTCTCTCTCTCTCCACCTTCCTCTCTGAAATAAATAAAAAGATATTAAAAACAAACAAACAAAAGGTTACCAGTTCGATTCCTGCTCAGGGCACATGACCTGTTGCAGGTCTGACCCATGGTAGGGGGCATGCAGGAGGCAGCCAATTGGTGTTTTGCTCTCATATCAGTTTTTTTTTTCTCTCCCTTCCTTTCTCTCTAAAAAAATAAAATTACAATTAAAATAACCAATTAAAAGAAAAGCTTTCTGCCGGGACCGGTTTGGCTCAATGGATAGAGCATCGGCTTGGGGACTGAAAGGTCCCGGGTTCGATTCCGGTCAAGGGCATGTACCTTGGTTGCGGGCATATCCCCAGTAGGGGGTGTGCAAGAGGCAGCTGATCAATGACTCTCTCTCATCGATGTTTCTAACTCTCTATCTCTCTCCCTTCCTCTCTGTACAAAATCCATAAAATAAAAAATAAAAATAAAAAAATGCCACTGGGATGCATAATTTAAAAAAAAAAAAAAGCTTTCTGTGATGATGTAAGTGACCTATTATCTGTCCAATACATACGCTGCTAGCTGGGCATTTGAGATGGGGCTATTGCAAAGGAGAAACTGAATTTTACTTTTAAATGGCTACATGCAGCTACTGCCTTGCATAACAGACAGCACAGCACTAAAACTTTTGCCTTTGGAGCAGTGTCGTTTATTTATGAATGTCTTCAGTGCTCTACCCTGTGAGTGCCTGCCCTCTTCCTCACAGCCCCATTCTAGATCATTCTGTGCACTCCACCACCACCCTTCCATTCCCAGGCCCCATTCCCAAGTCTCACAGGTCCTTGGTGAGATGGAGGCACTTCCAGACAGGAGCCATGATGTGATTGGACAAGCCATTGGGAGCCATGCCCCGGCAGTGCAGCTTCTGCTTCTGGGAAAAAAATGAAGAAAGTGTCAAGGAGAATTTTACAGCCAGAGAAAGTTCCCAGGACACAGCTTTCTCAGCTCTTACTTTTCTCCGCACAACTTCTCCTCTAACCTTTGCCATATCACAATCTCAAAAGATTTATGTTAAAACCATTACAATGACTTCTCCACCTTCTGCTCCTACTCCTCCATCAAAACTGCAAAATCTGCCCGGCTGGTGTGGCTCAGTGGCTGAGCGTTGACCTATGAACCAGGAGGTCACGGTTCTATTCCTGGTCAGAGCACATGCCTGGGTTGTGGGCTCCATCCCTAGTGTGGGGCGTGCAGAAGTAGCTGATTGATGTTTCTATCTGTCTCTCCCTTTCTCTCTGAAATAAATTTTAAAAAAACTTATATTTTTTAAAACTGCAAAATCTGTTACATGTTGCCAAAACCCGTTTGGCTCAGTGGATAGAGCGTTGGCCTGCGGACTGAAAGGTCCCGGGTTCGATTCCGGTCAGGGGCATGTGCCTTGGTTACAGGCACATCCCCAGTGGGGGTAGTGCAAGAGGCAGCTGATCGATGATTCTCTCTCATCGATGTTTCTAACTCTCTATCCCTCTCTGTAAAAAATCAATAAAATATATTGTCTAAAAAAAAATAAATAAAAAATCTGTTACATGTTTTTGAACATTTTCCTTGATGTCTCCACACATTGGATTTAGAGGATTTTCATTTACTTCTTAAAACTCTTGCCTGTGGAGTGGTCTTTCCTCCTCCTCCCATCTTTCTAACATTCCTTGGCTGGTTCTCCCTCCTCCGATAGACTTGGTCCATGATGGCATTTCCCAGAGACGTCCTGACTTTTTTTCCAGCCTCCATGCAGTCACTGCTGGTCATTTCACCCCATAGCCCAATATTACACCTGATCATAAAGTTTGACTACCATCACTACCCTTTAATCAAGTTTACATTTTAATAAGCTCAAACTTCACTAGTTTTCAACTTTTCTACAGTCTAGATCCATACAGTGGTACCAAGCAATATTAGAGCCTGAGGCAAAAGGAAAAATCAGTAATACAGTTCCTGTCTTTATTTAAAATTTGATATTTGAAATAAATAAATAAATAGATAGATAGATAAATTTTAAAAATTTGATATTTGGTCATTATAGATTTGTTAAATTAATTTTGATTTTTAAAAATGTACCAAAATATTCATCCTGATTTCTAAGGATTTGGTGCTCCCTTAAATGTTGCACTTAAGACAAGTAAGGCACTGGTCCCATATTCAATTCTGACTGGTGACCAGATGTCCCCAGCACGGTCCACAGTCTACAGACACTTCCAACTCAGTATGCAAGAAAGTGAGCTCATCACCTGCCCATCTTTGCCTCTCCTGCGTACCCCACTCTTCCTATTTGGGATGACGAAACATCTTGGAAATGGATAATGTTAGTGGTTGCACAACATTGTGAATGCACTAAATGCCAGCGAGCTATACATTTTTAAATGGTAAGTTTTCAGTTATGTAGATTTTACCACAATTAAGCACACACCTTTAATGGCTCCTACTGTCACTCCTTTTATCTTCTCTAGTTTAATCCCCACTTTACCCAAAGCCCTATGCTGTAGCCACAATCAATTTCTGAAAAAAATCAATCTCTCTGGCACACTTTCATTTACCTGTTGAGACCTAGCTGAACTATCATTCCTTTGTGAAGCCTAAGCAGTTGATTATCCCTCCTCTATTTGGCTAACACATTTTGATCTCTCCTGGCCTAGCACACTGAACTTTGGGAGGCAGGACTCTGCTTTATTCACGATTTGTGTTTCCTGGCTCGCAGTAGATGCTCAATATATGTTTTCGGTATTTTTGTTAATCGTCACCAGAGAGAATTTTTTTCCCACTGATTTTTAGAGAGTGGGAGGAGAGAGACATAGAAAAACATTGATGTGACAGAGACAATCGATTGGTTGCCTCTCACATATGCCCTAACCAGGTGGAGATCAAGCCTACAACCAAGGTACATGCCCTTGACCAGAACTGTACTCGGGCCCCTTCAGTCCGTAGGCTGACACTCTAACCACCGAGCCAAACTGGCTAGAACAGTTGCTCAAAAGATGAATGAATAATCTTGTTTACTTCCACCCTTAGCTCCTGCGATCTCAAGTGTATTTGAATTTGTATCTTTCTTCTTTTACCTCTTTTGATTATCATAGTGACTAGGTCAAAGCCTTCCTTTCTGCGTACCCTCTTGACCCCCTAATAATCCTATTAGTTCATTCAGGGGATCCTCTTACCCCTGACGTGGTTCCTCGTGGGGTGCTTCGGGCCACCGCAGGCTCAGGGTCAGATGAGCTCTCACTTGGGACCTCACTTTCTTCTCCATCTTCAGCCTCAACCTTGAGAACAAAGTCTTCATCTCGTGTGGTGTCATCCTCTTCCTCTCCACCTTGACAGACTGACTGTGGCCGGATCTTCTTTGGTTTGATGGGGCTGCTCACCTTGGGGCCCTCAGGACAGGACACTGGAGCAGGCAGGGCTGTTGAGAGCTCTTCCGCCAGTTCCTGGAGATACAGAAGTGCCCTGTGGGATAGGGCAGAGTCAGACATGCTCACCAACACTTAACGAGAGCCCACTCTTTATCCATTTATTTATTTAGAGCCCACTTTTCCAGACACTGGGTTGATTCTTATTGCACTGGACCCTCACAGTGACCCTGGGAAGCAGCTATTTATTTCTCCTTCCCTTCGGATAGATAAACATAATTCCAGGAAAGTAAAGTGACTTGGTCAAAATGATTCAGATAACATATGTGGGATCTAAACCAGGTCTTCTGACTTCAAGCCCCAAGCACTTCTCACTCTACCACAGTAAAAAATCACGGATGGCAACAGAAAATAATAGAAAGGTTGTGGATATACTGATATATACTATATCTGAGTGGTAAAATTATAATGAAGACCTGGGGGGAAATTGTGAAAAATGGATAGGATACAAGGATTTTACAGAAAGAAAATCCTAGACAAGGTGAACAACAGATGAAAGTTGCTGATATAAAAACCAGAAGATCTCTCAAGTCCCCAGAACCCGACACCACGCCCGCTTACTTCATCATAGTCTTTTCATCTCCCCAACATCTGACCCACCCTGATTCCTTCACCCCAGCCCCCACTCAAGATGCGCCCCAATCCTTACACTTGGGCAGCCCTCCGGCGGGGTCGTTGCCCAGATGGAGTCTCAAAGTCCTCAGGGGGCCTCTTTGGAGCCGGAGACTCTGGCTGATCCAGGCCTTTGGACAACTTCAGCAGTAGCAGCTCTGCCTTGGTCTTCCGACCTCGTTTCTTAGGCATGGGGGTGGACAGCGGATTGGACGAATCTAAGTGACTAGGAGCCAGAGGGACTGGTGGAGGATTTGGTTGTTGAGGCCTTTTGGGGCCTTTCCGCGCCCTGCCACCTCTCTTCCGGCCAGGCTTTGAGCCCCTAGGCTTTGAGACCTTTGACATCTCTGAAGAAAGATCTGTAGAGAAGAATACATGTCTATGAGATGGGACCAGAGCTCAAACCTCTTTAGAACTGACTACAACATACCCAGGCTTGTTAAACCTATGAACTCAACCTGTTCTCTTTCATCTTAAACTGAGCACAGGGAGAGAAGAAGGTGAGAAGACAAGGTACATACCTTGCTGTTCCAGTCTGGGTAGGCTTTCCTGTTCTGGAAGGAGCTTTTTCTCATCAAGAGAACCCTCAAGTCCAGACAAAGAGGTAGGCAAAGACATCTCTATGGAAGCCTCGGTGCTGGCTGTGTCTGAAGTGGTCCTGACATCAAGCTGATTTAGCACCTCTTGTCCAGGAGAGTCCACTATAGTCACGTTCCCCACGGGGCCGGCCTCCCCCAGGGCGACATAGCCGACCCCGCAGGTATCCATCAGCACCCCCCAAAATGGTTGCCCCTGCACACAGACAGACAAATGAAAAGAAGGTAAAATCTATTTGTACTGACTCCGATTTTTCTATTTTCCTCCCCTCACTGCCCCTCCCGAAACCAGAAATCTAAGCCGCCTGATCATGTATTCATTCAGTAATAATTACTAAACATCTTCCATGTCAGGTATTATGACAATAAGCAAGACAGACAAGGTCCCTGCCCTCATGGAACTTACATGCTAGTGAAGCTGATAATAACAAACAAATAATAATACAGCCACCATTTTTTAAAACAATTGCTATGTGCAAGCACTGTAGTAAGTGCTTTATTTACATTAATTTAAAGCTCATAACATTTCTTATCATGATACTGCAGTGAATGCCTAGATCTAAAAGCCATCTTTATAAGTATTAGCCAAGGAACAGATTTATTTAAAAATAAGTAAAACAGCCCTAACCGGTTTGGCTCAGTAGATTGAGTGTCAGCCCCTGGACTGAAAGGTTCCGGGTTCAATTCCGGTCAAGGGCATGTACCTTGGTTGTGGGCACATCCCCAGTAGAAGGTGTGCAGGAAGCAGCTGATCTATGTTCCTAACTTTCTACCCTTCTCCCATCCTCTCTGTAAAAAATTAATAAAATATATATTTTTTTAATAAAAAATAAGTAAAACAGTTCTCCAGTGCCCAGTCATCAGTCTTTTACCTGGGTTGGGGAGGTGGTAGGCTTTGAGACAATTAAGTAGCATCCTACTACATTAAGAGACTTTTCCCTGCCCTGGTCAGTAGCTTGGTTGGTTAGTGTCATTCCGATATAACAAGTTTGTGGGTTCGGTTCATTACCCGCCGGTCAGGACACATATAAGAACCAACCAATTAATGCATAAATAAGTGGAACAACACATCAATGTCTCTCTCAAATCCCCATATTAAAATTTTTAAGAAAAAAAGAGCTTTCCCCACATTGAAGAATGGATTTTAAAACGGTCATAAATCTTCATTTTCTTCAAACCCAGGAATCAGGTGTACAACCATGGACCAAAGTCAACAGGAGATAAACAAAACACTGATACCAACCAAAAACCTGAGCAACAAAGAACTCTGCCAGGGCACAGTTTTCAGCCAGAAAAACCTGCTTGTCTGGGCCAAAGGGGGAGAAATAGTTCAAATCTGAGGAGGGAATTCCCGTAGGTCTGTATGTGTCTTCAGGATAAAGAAATGATTCGTCTTATAGAAAAGGTTGCTGATGAAAACATACGAAATGTCAAACCAATTAAAAGTTCACAACAGTCTAAGTGGATTATAAATGATAACAGCCAACTCTCTAACTCAGGTGTTAAGGACACACTATAACATCATGTGCTAAAGATAGAATAGAACAATGCCAAAGCAAATGGAGGTCAGTGAGAATCCACCTGCATTGTTCTCTGGTAAATAGCAAGCCCTGTCAGAACTTGTCCATTCAAAGTTAGTAACAGCCTGGCTGGTGTGGCTCAGTGATTGAGCATTGACCTATAGGTCACGGTTTGATTCCTGGTCAGGGCACATGCCCAGGTTGCAGGCTCAATCCCCAGTGGGGGGCATGCAGGAGGCAGCCGATCAATGATTCTCTCTGATCAGCTATGGCTCCATAAACAAGTTGCATCTACAATCAGAATGTAACCACGTATATGGGGAAGACACTTCTCTGGCTTCCAAATCCAGAACCACTCCGAGGCCACAATCTGCATCAGCAAAATGCACACATGCTGGCCTGCCTCTTCCCTCTCTAATCTCAGGCCCCAATTTGAGTTCCTTAAGAGCACATTTGATCGGAAAGACCTAAATCACATTCAGAGTCTTGGATGGTAAATTTCCAGGAAATGAAATCTCTAGCTTTACAGGCTTTCATAGTGGAAGTTGCTCATTTCCTCACATCCCATTTACCCAAGGTGAGAAAGTGGGATCAGGGTCTTCTCAATTCCTCTCCAATGCCACTGCTTGACAAGTAGTCCTTCCCCTCTTGCAAAAGCCTTGTTCCTCTGAAGCTTGTAACATTCAGCTAAAGCCCTGCCAATCGCTCCGCTGTTACACCCTGGACCCTGTCATCACGTAATACTTTTTAATCTCCAGAATCACTAAGACATTTACTATCTGATCACAACCTCCCATCATTACAGCTAGACTGCTCAACTCCCATCACTGTATCTATTCTTCAATCACATCTAGCCACTATTCATTGATCTCTCCAATTTCTCCCTAAGGCAGCAGCCACATACAATCTAGCTTAGATTTCTTTAGTCAGACTCTATTGACATTATAAACTTTCTCTCTGTCTGTCTTTTGTTTCACAGATCTGGCAAAATTCCAGCCTTAGATGAAACCGATCTTCTACCTTCTTCATTGTGTGCATCTCAGCTACACAATCACACTTTCTCTCTTAGTCTCTCCACACCCTCTCTCTTCCAATGTCTGATCCCCTGGTTCTCAGCAGATAACTTTGCTTCTGGTTTTTGAAACAAAATTTAAAGCCATTAGAGAGAAATACTTGGATTTCTTGCAAAGTAGCTTGATCCTCCGTGCATTTAGACTTCTCCCTCATCCCACTTAAAACCTCACCTTCCATAACGTTCAAGCCCCATTTTCTGCCTTCTTAAGGAAACTAGTCATTTATTCTTTTCTTCTCTATGGGCATCTTCCAAAAAGCACTGACCTTTTTTTGTGTGTGTTTTTTTGTGTGTTGTGTTTTGTTGTTGTTGTTGGTGGTGGTGGTGGTTTTTGTTTTTTGTTAATCCTCACCTGAGGATTTTTTTTCCCATTTATTTTTGTTTTTTTTTAGAGAGAGTAGAAGGGGCAGAGGAAGGAAATTAAGAGGGGGAGGGAGGGCTGAGTGTGGGAAGGAAGAAGAAAGAGAAAAACATTAATGTGAGAGAGACACATCAACTGGTTGCCTCCCCTACACACCCTGACAGGTGCCAGGGATCAAACCTGTAACCCAGGAATCAAACCCAAGACCCTTCGGTGAGCAGGCCAATTCTCTAACTATTGGGCAACACCAGCCAGAGCCAAAGAGCATGTTTAAATGTTTACAATTCGCATCTTAACACACACACATAATTGCCCTTCAACCCATATTCCTCCTCCAACTAATATGTCCCTCCTCCATCTCACAGACTTTTAAAAGAATTGTCTGCCCTTACATTTTAATTATCCTACTTCCTCCTAACTAGGATATTGCCCCCACCTGAAGCTGAAAGTCCTCAGTAATTGCTGCCAATTAATTCAACTGACATTCTCAGTCTTATTTAACTTGACCTCTCAGCAGCACTGAAGCTACTTATTATTTTCTTGAAACATTGTCTTCTCTTGAGAAGAAATTCAAATTCAGTAACCTTCCAGAAGTTCCTCAATCTTTTACAATTTAAACTCACTGATGGGTCTAACATACTGTTTCCCAAAGTCTGGTACAACTGGTGGTATGCAATATTATTTTAATAGTATAAAAATGAACAATTTTACTCGACTGTATTTTTATTTTAACTTATAAAAAAATATTTATATAACAAGCCCATGAAACTTCATGGGTTCATATATTGCATAGAGACGAAAGCACTTAAACTTCAAAAATAAATCAATTTAAAGAAAACTCTAATAGTACAGTTGGTAAGAATGGGTGGCCAAAGTGCTAAAAGCACAGGAATGACTTAAGTTTGTGTAACAATACGCCGCCCCGGGAAGAGGCTTGGCCATACCCTACAGCTCTCTAACCAAATGCTGGGTGGGGTTGAAGGCGTCATCTCTGCCTTCCCCAGCCAACTCGCCAGGGGAGAAAAGGGCCAGGCGAGGAAACTAACTGGCCCTGGACTGCGCCAATGAGGTTGCAGCGCGCGGGGCACAACCCCCAGGGTTCGAAGAGCCAGGAGGAGGAGAAGGAGGAGGGAGGAGGCTGGGGCACAGCAGCAGGAGGGACTGACCCGCAGCTCCTCTAAGGGTGCCCGCCTGCCCTCCCTCAGCCCTGAGCAGGGGAGCACCTTTCACCACCGGCCCGAGCCTGCGGCCAGCCTTGGGCTTTCCAAAGCTGAGGACTACTGTAGGTTCCCCGCGTCGAGGGAGGTAACGTAAGCAGCGCCCAGGCCAGGACACTGGATGCTGTGTTACGGGCACCGTGAGAGTGGAGGAGGCGAGGCCGTGGTTTGCAGAGATGGGGGATGCATTCTGGCCACGGTGGGTAAGGAAGTGAGGAGCTTGATGGTTCCTATAGCAGCCGCCCAGGGACTGGAGGTCGCGATGCTGTGCAGAATGGGAACAGCGGAGCCAATATTTTGGCGCCACCGAAAAAGGAGGAGGAGTAATCGTGGGGGGCCCCCCGCATACCCCACGGCTGTACACTCACCCTCACCAAAGTCCTTCCGGAAGTCCAAGTTCGAAGATGGCGCCGCCCGTCTGGTCGCGGCTTTATGACGTAACCCCGTAGCTACTCTTCATTGACGGCCCATCCCCGACCTCCGGTAGCAGTGCACAAAGGTAAACATGTCAGTTTGGTTGCGAGTGTGTGCCAGAGAGTTTTCTATTGCACCGTGTTCCACAATGCAATGCGGCGAGGGTTCCCGGGCCCTTTCGGAGCGGGAGAAGCTCCCGGCTCCGGCAGCGCGGAGGGTGCTGCAAGGCCTTATGGGAATTGCAGTGTCTGGAAGGTAAGGTTGGCGCCTGCGCGGTGACGCTCGCCGCGCCCACCGCGGTTCCCACGCGGCCTCTACGCTCTACTCGAGTGTGCTGCTCCCCAGGCTTTTCTTCTGGGTCTATGGCGGGCTGGGCCAGGGCGGATGTGAGAATTTACCTGCGACATTGGAGCCAAAGACAGAAACTGGGAGACAAAAGAATCCATGAAACGGGCGCCAGGACTCGGGCTCCCCCGGGGGGCACCGCCCCCCTCCTGCAGGTGCAGCCGCTAGTGAAGTCCAGGAGGAAAAGGAAAGGGAAGGAGTTGAAAAGCCTGCGCTGAGTGAGACTCTGGCTTGGACATTAGC